ACAAGTTTACACTAATAAATTTCCTATTGTGGGTCTAAGCAAAAACGTTATGTATGAATAGGTGCATATCAGTTTTTGCAAAATAGATCTTTATTCTGAATAAAAAAAACTATGTTTAACCCCTAATTTCTATACCAAGACACAGAGAACACCTCGAACTCAATTCTAAAACTTAAGCGCATTAATACATACATCTCGAAATAAATATGACAATGCCGGAAATGCCAGATTAGTGATGGTGCATAACTGACCATTTTAAGGCGACATTCATACTTCAAAAAAAAATCCTACAATTTTACTTTATACTTTACTTTATACTTTATACTTTGTATACTTTAGTCAGAAAAGCTCCAGCTTGTGGCTTTACCTCAGGTGAATTTAAAATATCATTTGAGTTTGTTCGTTCACGTACAATGTCAGTCCTAAACTTCAAATAGTTATAAGAAAATGATTTCTGCAAAATCACAAAAACAAGAATCAAAAATGTTTAAAAAAAAAAAATTAAAGTCAGTAACCTACAGACACATGCTCAGTAGTAAAGAATGAGCTGAGAATCACTACAACATGCAAACAATATTGGGGGGGGGGGGGGGGGCGGGGGCGGGGGGCGGGGGGGGCAAGGTGAAAAGCTTCAATGTTTGGGGAAATCAAAAACAAAAAAAAAAGACAATAACTAACAACCAAAGAAAGAAAGTATTTCTTAAGAAATAAAAATACATCCTCTCAGATATTGTCTAAAATATACTGCTAAAATTTATTTCAAGGCATGGTATTTAAACTACCAGCGTGTTCAAAAAATTTTAATCTGTAGTTTCTTGAGCAAACAAGAAAAATCTTGTAATGCTATTTCTATCAATCAAAAGAACTACCTTGAACTATGAGAACTACCTTAAGGCACTAAACGACTTGAACTTAATACAAATTGCCCAAATACTGACAAAAAAAATCGTTTATAATATATAATATACACTGGTCATTTTCTAGTCAATAAACCTCGTTATCTACGAATGTAGATGAAACTTGCTTTAAATACCTTTTGTAACCAACAGAATCAACAAGGCTTTGGCTAAAGAAAGTCAAAAGCCAAAATACCACGAGGTTACACTTGAAGTGTGCATGTAATCCAATGATTAATTTTTTTCTACCTGTACAAGCTTATTAATCTCTTTATCATACTTTAAATTTCATTGAGCACAGAGGGAGAACAGCATTATTAATAATGTCTACATATACCCACATCTACAAACATATACAACATTTACCTCATATGCCATTTTGGATTTCCTTTTCGTGAAAATCAACAATAAAAAGATCTTTAATAATAACAAGTGTAAATCTCATAAAACAAACTGGATTTCTTTCTAAAACAATTAAACAGAAATAAAATTATTCTCCTTCACAGAAGGGAATTGAAAATTTTACACAAAAATAAAATAATTGGTCCACTGCATTTAAATTTCCTAAATATTACAAAAACGTAAGGACTTCTATCATAATTTCAAAACATTGATGTGTGAACTACTTATTTTAAAATAAATTTTCACTATTGCTATGTAGACTACTTCTTTCATCATTTGCTTTAAGTTTTTTAATACTTTAATTGTAAAAGACTGTTTTATAATGCTTAATTGAAGACAGTGATCAAGACTTTTGAGTAAATTAGGTTCAAAGACATGGTGCGTCAACATTATTGTGTTTCAAAACATCGCTATCGACAAACCAAAATCGTGAATGCAAAGCCACATCCAATATAATTATTTATTATCTTAATGTACATTATACATATTATTTTGGGTTCAAAATTTAGAAATAACATCAGAAATCATTAAAATACCTGCAAATATTGCGGCAAGAAGCGACTGTCTTGACTTGGAAATGTAATATTTAATGTAATATATGAAATGTAATATTTAATGTAATATATGAAATGTAATATTTAATGTAATTCATGTATTTGAAATGTAATACTAAATGTAATATTTGAAATGTAACATTTAATATAATATTTAAAATGTAATATTTTAATATTTGAAATGTAATATTTAATATAATATTTGAAATGTAATATTTAATGTAATATTTGAAATATAATATATAATGCAATAATTGAGATGCAATATTTATAGTAATATTCAAAATGTTGACTTGAGATCATGTTTCACAATTTGAAAAACCTATTTATTCAAAATAAAATTACATACACTATTTTTAATTCAGAAATTCTTTCATGTACCATAAATCCGTATAGAATTTCTGCCAGTGGCATTAAAGATTTCAATTATTCAAAGATAAATGTACTTTAATTTCCTATTACAAAATGACTATGAATCTTACGTATAAGGAAAGAGACCATAAATATATTTGAAAATTTCGCATTATAATGCTTTTATTCCTTTAAAATTATTGGAAGTGTTTTTTAATGCTGAACAAATTACATATTCCAAACTCAAGGACAGCGTTGTGTTGACAAAAATAGTAAATTCGGGTGGAGATTGTGCTAATGTGACTAAACTTATAACTAGTTGATTGCAGTAATTATCTGAGAAAAAAAAAAGATTTCAATATTTAAAATTTCTTAATAATTTATAAGTAGATAATCTTTTTGCAAAAAGTTTGAAATTTGAGCAAGTTCAAGTGTGGAGTAGTCTGTTATTTAAGTACCTACACCACGTAGCCTTCATCATACCACTCAATGTGCTTAGTTAATCAGAGGAGTTGCACATGAGTAGACGCCATAAATAATGGCCCGCCATTATCGCTTTTGAAATATACATAGAGCAATGCGAAAACTACCAGAGCATAAAAAAAAACACCTAATTGTCATCCACCTTAGATTATTTAATCTAAGTAGTTTTCAAACTTTGCCGAAATAAATTTAAAAATTAAATTTAAAAAAAAGGAAAATTATAGTAGAAGTCCTTTGAGATAATCCACACATACATATAAGTGCTAACATTCAATGTATACACTGGTATACACATTTATATCATTTTATCAAGTCTATGTTAAACAAAACATAGTAAAAATAGGGGAAAACATAGAAATGTCTAACATTTCCACACAAATATACTTCATAAAACTTGTTGAGTACATTTTAGAGTACATTTTAAAAAATTAACACCTGAATAAAAATGTTAAGCTATAATATTAAGTCTCCTCGAGATGAATTGCCATGGAGGTAACAATGGTGTCAATAAAATCTGGTACATAAAATCGATGTTTTTTTTTGTCGTAACTGCTTGATAACATTCAAAATATTTTCATTACTAAACAAATTCTTTTCTTCCGTTGTTGAAGTGAAATAAAGAAGAAAGGTTCCAAAATAAACCAAAAATAAAGAAAAGTTTCAAAATTAACCAAAACATGATTTTTTTTTCAATTTTATCATCAAAATGTATAAACAGAAAATTCTACCTAATGCCCTTAAAAATAAAAACATGTAATTCTATCAATTAATGCCCTTTATAACAATAGCATATGTTACATTTAAATTTCATTAAATTTTTTAACATAAATTGTAAAAAAAAAAAAAAACAAACAAAAAAACAAATTAAACAACCTTAATGGTAACAAGTAAACAAACAAATAAATGCAAGAAATTCACAATTATCATGTTCAGTGCTACCATTGTGCTGACAAACATAAATCGACAAAATTCAAACAAACAAAAATAATTCAATTAATTATTTAAGATTAGCATCAAAATTAATGACGAATTGTATATTCATCTTATCACTATAAAAGGTGCAAAACATGCTGAGGTGAGCAAAATGGAACATCAAGCATCAGATAGTCTAGATCTCTTAATAGATCCGGCAATGACAAATGATTTACAACACAGTAAACCATATGAATTATCTAACATTTGTCAGTAAAGTTGTTTAGGAATGTAAAATTAAAATCATGTAAAAATTAAATGTTAATGCCCAGTATGTTGAAAAAAGTAACTATGTGTAAATAATCATGATTTGAAAATAAAATAATCTAGATTATACAAGCTAAGCTAAGAAGGTAACTCATATGCATTATATATATATGTATTTACATTTGCAAATTTTTTTATATAACACTGTTAAAAGCAACGCATATCTATATCCGTATAAACACAGGTTCCTCGCGTCATAAACGTTCGACGTAATTTCTCAGTGTCGTCATAAAGGGTCGATGCACAATCAGTGGATCAAACACGTGCCGTTGGGTTTGAAAAATAAAACATTTCATGCGTTAAAGATTATAATCAGGCAAAAAATAAAATATGAATAAGTCACAAATGTAAATATAAGTAATAAGGTATCATTTTAAAACATCTATCGGGCTATAAATATGGGTTGGTACGAGATCAAATTTACCATTCTGTATGGAATTTGATCTCATGACCAACCCGTATTTATATTGCAATAGACGTTTTAAAATGATACCTTATTTCTTATATATATATATATATATATATATATATATATATATATATATATATATATATATATATATATATAATGCATCATGAAATGATGCATGTTTTTACTTTCTTTCACATTTTTAAAAATAAAAATAACATCAAAAACTGGAACAAATTAAAAAGCACTGTGAGGATAAACTTCATGAGTAATTCTAAAATAAACAATAGTTCCAAACACTCACACCCAGGAAATATGATGAAGTCTACGACACGTTTCCATAGTTGAATATCTGTGCATTGAGAGGCTGTGAGCCTCTTCTCATATAAAATAATATATATATATTTAGGAACAAAAATTATTTGTTAATCAATTTTTGGTGTTGAAAATTCATATATTTAATTTTACACACCTGAAAATGTTATAATCTTTCTTTCATTCTTTTGATTATAAAAATGTAAAATAAGTTGAAAGACACATGCTATGTAAATTTAATTTAAAGATTCGCTATGAACATGATGAATACTGCAATGTATGAAATGCCTTAATAAATAATCTGAAATGTTCACTTCTTAAAAAAAATCATTTGTAAGAATAATGCCCGGATTTCATATAAAGTAAAACCTGGTATGCAGAGAAACATTAAGGTGAATATGCTCCTAAAATTAACTCGTTGCTGCATTCCACTTGGTCAAGTTTCGTTGATTGAACTCTAACATTTTCTGGCAAAGGGACTGATTGTCGATGCTTTCTGTATCAGAATCCATGGGAGGGATAAAATCAGTTAAATTGCCTACCCCAAGAAAACTTCTATCCTGCTCTGAATGCACCAAAGACACATAACCACTGTCTTGGTATGTTCTGGGGAGAGGAATCGCACTTTCTATGCAAGGTTGATGGGTAAAATGAATATCACAAGGATCAAATACAGCTCCTTTTGGATTGCACTGCAATACAGGCCATGCTGCAGGATTCATGTCTAGACACCTACTGTCAAAATGTGAAGGAATATGATAGTTTGCCACCATCTCTTGGTGATGATGTGAATGAGTTTCACCTTCCCCAATATATATTTTGATAGACTCTTCCAATCTTTTATTAGGAGTACTCCTCATTTCCAGTTTGTACAAGTCTGTTAGTTTTTCACACACATCCATAACCTCTGGCATCGAGGGTCCAAATTCTTCAAGAAGCAGTGTCTCATCATCATCTAGCAAATAGTTAACAAGTTTACGTATTTCTGCATCCCTGATGATACACTGAACGTTCCCATCAACATCAACCACATCTGACAACACAAATTCCTTCTGTATATCAGGACTCAGAAGTTTGTTCTGAATGTTTGGAAAGAATGAAATAAGAATGGGTTTCTTCATCTGCTGTTCATTTGATGAAACAAAATTGTGAATATTGTCTAAAGATGCTACACAGTTTAAGAAAGCTTGGCTTTCATGAGACATATTTCCATTCGAATGGGTAAGGGAGAAATGAGACCGATTCTTTTGAAGGGCTTTGTAAATCTGAATCAAACTCTTGCTTGATATAATAGCCACCTGATAAAAGCTACTGGATTTCAGATAATCACTAGTGAAACCTTCCATTAAATTCTCCTCTGCAAACTGGGCCTGAAGAAGAGGGTTAATTAATTAGTGCAATAAAAATTATAGTCATTTGATACCATTACTGCATTGCAGTAAATTTGGAATACAGGAAATAAAGGGCTTAAAATCTCACAATTCATATAACTAACTTGATTAAAGTGTGTTTGGAGGAGGGTCATAACATTAATTATAAATTGCTTTAAAGCATATGACAGGTTCAACCCTTCTATTTAACTGATTTACTGTACCACTATTTAAAATCTAGAAAAAAATACAAAGTCAGTTTTCATGCATACAATTACAATTTCTTTAACAAAAAGTATATAATTTTCAAAATCCTTCTTCTCAAAAGGTTTTCTTAATGTTACCTTGCAACCTTTCACTGAATGTAAAAGTGACTTCAAACTGTGAATAGCATCTCTTAGTTGTTGACTCTCATCACAGTACACAGGTAAAATGATAGTGCAATCTGTGTTGAAAGGGGAAAAAGTATTATATACATAGTAGCTGTTTGATTCACAGAGTTAAGATTTTATCTTTGTCTTAAGGATGATTACTCAGGGTTTCAGTTGACAGAAATTACAAAATCTTAAATCAAAAACTGTTCTAAACAGACATAATAACCAAATACTAAATGAATATAATATCAAAATTTAATATTTTACAATTTGATGTCAATATGCAACAACTGATGTAACACTGGGATTGTATCTTTATTGTTAGATGTTGTTTGTTACAGAGTAAAGCTGTTATCTGTTAATTACAGAGTAAAGCTGAGATTGTATCTTTATTGTTAGATGTTGTCTGTTACAGAGTAAAGCTGGGATTGTATCTTTATTGTTAGATGTTGTTTGTTACAGAGTAAAGCTGTTGTCTGTTACAGAGTAAAGTTGATATTGTATCTTTATTGTTAGATGTTGTTTGTTACAGAGTAAAGCTGTTATCTGTTAATTACAGAGTAAAGCTGAGATTGTATCTTTATTGTTAGATGTTGTCTGTTACAGAGTAAAGCTGGGATTGTATCTTTATTGTTAGATGTTGTTTGTTACAGAGTAAAGCTGTTGTCTGTTACAGAGTAAAGTTGATATTGTATCTTTATTGTTAGATGTTGTATTACAGAATAAAATTGAGATTGTTTCTTTATTGCAAGATGTTGTGTTAACCAATATAGCTGATATTGTATCTTTATTGTTAGATGTTGTGTTACTGAGTAATGCTGAGATTATATCTTTATTGTTAAATGTTGTGTTATAGAATAACACTAAAATTATATCTTTATTGTTAGATGTTGTGTTACAAAGTAAACCCGAGATTGTATCTTTATTGTTAAATGTTGTGTTACCGAATAAAGGTGAGATTGTATCTTTATTGTTGGATGTTGTGTTACACAGTAATGTTGAGATTGCATCGTTATTATTAGATGATGTGTTACGGAGTAAATCTGAGATTGTATCTTTATTGTTAGATGTTGTTTTACTGAGTAATGTTGAGATTATATCTTTATTGTTAGATGTTGTGTTACAGAGTAATGTTGAGATTGTATCTTTATTGTTAGATGTTGTTTGTTACAGAGTAAAGCTGTTGTCTGTTACAGAGTAAAGCTGAGATTATATCTTTATTGTTAGATGTTGTGTTACAGAGTAATGTTGAGATTATATCTTTATTGTTAGATGTTGTGTTACAGAGTAATGCTGAGAATGTATCTTTATTGTTAGATGTTGTGTTACAGAGTAATGCTGAGATTGTATCTTTATCATTAGATGTTGTGTTACAGAGTAAAGCTGAGATTGTATCTTTATTGTTAGATGTTGTGTTACAGAGTAATGCTGAGATTGTATCTTTATCATTAGATGTTGTGTTACAGAGTAAAGCTGAGATTGTATCTTTATCATTAGATGTTGTGTTACAGAGTAAAGCTGAGATTGTATCTTTATTGTTAGATGTTTTGTTACAGAGTAAAGCTGAGATTGTGTCTTTATTGTTAGATGTTGTTTGTTACAGAGTAAAGCTGTTGTCTGTTACAGAGTAAAGCTGAGATTATATCTTTATTGTTAGATGTTGTGTTACAGAGTAATGTTGAGATTATATCTTTATTGTTAGATGTTGTGTTACAGAGTAATGTTGAGATTATATCTTTATTTTTAGATGTTGTGTTACAGAGTAATGTTGAGATTATATCTTTATTGTTAGATATTGTGCTACAGAGTAAAGCTGAGATCTGAGGTTGTATCTTTATTGTTGGATGTCATGATAAAGAGTAACATTGAGATTATATCATAATGATTATTGTTAGATCTTATACTACACAATATGATTATCTTTATTAGTTGTTACTTTACAGAATAACATTAAAATTATACCTTTTTTGCTAGCTGTAATGTTGCAGAAAAACAATGATTATGCCATTTTCAATTGTGCAATGTCATTTGCATTTTAAATCTTCGTTGAATCTATGCAAAAATACACTTTGGAAATACATGTTCATTGAAACATTACTAATTAAACTTTACTGTTACCTGAATGTTATGTTGCATGGTTACAGGAGAATTATGCCTTAATTGTTAACTGTTGTGTTGCAGCATAATATTGAGAAGATAAATATCTATCTGTTGTGTTGAATAGAGCTATTTAGATTGTACCATTTTTGTTAGTGCTTATGTAACAAACTACATTTTAGCAATACTCTGAGTGTTTTGGGCAGTAGTTCAATATTAATCTTTCACTTTGAAATACTTTGCATTCATTTTGGGCATCACTTTCCTGAGACTCTAATTACCTGCATTATTAGGAGTTGTTTCACTATTTGCTGCCTGTCTGTAGTGTCGTCTAAGTTTACAGCCAGTGGAATCTGCAAATGAATCAACCATATTAATATCACAACCACAACTTCAACAAGGGCACTGCATAGCAGACTGAGAGCATTCCCTCCAAAAAGAGAACAAAAATACAGGTACAGATTATAACTTACTCAAACACACAAGAGCATGTTACTATATCCCCTCAAACTTTGTTGTGAGGGGATAACAAGGTGACAGTGATCTAACAAGCCAATCCTTGACCTGATGTAATTAGCAGTTTCCTTGGCATAATGACTACATAATTTATATGCATATAGAATATAACATCCATAGCTACAGTTTTGCCTAGTTTATGATTGTCAGGTTTAAATTAATTTCAACACTACAGATTGCAGATATAGTGTTCCAATTCCAGTAAGTCTTTGCTACAAATTTAACACAAGAACACCATTCTTTCATTTTGTTTGTTTATTTTATTGTTTAACGTCCCTCTTGAAAATTTTTCACTCATATGGAGACGCAACCACTTGCCAGTGGAGAGCTGCAAATTTTGACCTATACCTGGCACTCAGGGCCATTGAGCAGTGAGGGATCTTTTTTGTGCCAGCACCCACTGCAACATGGGACCTCAGTTTACACAGTCTCATCCGAAGGACCGGTCTCCACGTCCGACAGTGGGATTTGAAACCGCGACATAAGGGTCAACTCCTTACTCCGCGGCTCTAACCACTGCGCCATGCAGGTGACTCTTTCATTTTGAATACACTTTGTAGAGTAAATATATATATACCTCGTTTAAAGAAGAAGATTCCAGTGATGGCTCCAACAATGATCAATAGTATTGGAATACTGATGAGTGTGACCAGTTTAGAGGCCACTGGCTCTGGTGGTCTGATTATGGGGTCTGCAGGGTCTACACAGTCTGCAAGGAATAATACATTAACAACCTTCATATATTATCATCTACATCTTACTAAAAGATATATCAATGCAAGTATGTCTCCGTGTTTTTCAATTCTTGATTTCCTACAGTGTATGAATTATGAGCGAAATTTTAAGACTATATTATGGTTCAATGACCCTATGATAAGAGAGATAACTCTACTTGGACTATGAGTATCATTCCTTTCTAAAATGTCATTTTCCGTCAAATTTTTTGCAATTGTTTGCATCTTAATTGTAAATTAGATTTCTTTTGGAAAACCCTAAGCGTTAAAGCAAAATTTATATGAGTGATCAGAGGAATGATGAAGTTTAGACTTAAACATGGTAAAGGTGAAAATAATGAATTGTAATAAATCTCATAAATTCAGTAAACAAATCATGAAAAGGGCCCCTGTAAACCTAAGAGATGGGATCAGGTATCTAGGAGGACTAAGCATCCCCTGTCGACCCGTCACTGAAAACTAATCTAAGTAAAGCTTAGGATACAAAATAAGCTTTTTCATGTATTCTTCCATTATAGACAACAGCAAGACATGAATAGCATCAAATCCAGTCTCAATCAGATGCATCAGGTGATTCAATGATGCTGCAGTTTCTTCTATATGCTATCATCTTTTTTTTCTGCCTTTCAACAATCAATAACTCTTTCCATTAGCAATTCATAGCTTTTTTAAAGTTTATCAGGAAAAAAATCTTCTCACCACCAACTGCTACTGTTTTTGATGAATAATACTGATCAAATAAAGCTCTTTGATTGTCATATGGTCTGATCTGTAAATCATAAAGAAAGAACATAAAGCTATTTTGCATTGACTGACATCATAATTGTTTTATTAGCATATAATAAATTTGTTCAATATCCATTTTCATACTTTTAAATTAAAATCTAAGTTTGGTTACAGCTTGAAAAAATCTCTCTCTCTCTCTCTCTCTCAAATAGTTCATAAAAAATTAATTATTCTCACCTGAACTGTATAATTTGTTTTGCAAGGCACATTTTCAAAGGTGAAGTTTCCCAAAGGCTGAAATAACATTTAAAAAGTTCAATGTCATTTGCTTGGCAGTCACAAAATTGTCTTATGAATGTTCAGAAATGAAGCATTTTGGCTCATTCAGATTTACTTTACACTTACTTTACTATTTTCAAATAATCTTTAATTTTCTTAATATCACTTGATGACAAAGTAATAAAAGCAAGTTCTTCTTGACGAAGGTTCTGTGGATAACAGCATTTTTGAAAGATATTGGACCCTAGTTTCGAAATACGTAAATGGCCTCATAGTACGCATATGACCATAATAAAGATCCAGCAAAAATCTTTCTAATTAAATGCTGAATTAAAAAAAAAGTCATTTTTGTCACTACCTTGGCCTTTTATTTATTTTCAATCAGTTTATCCTCTAGGGCAGTTAGAATTTAAACTAAATGAGAACAGCTGACTCTCATTTCCATCATAAATAATTAAGTTACACGTTCAAAAAGGGATTTAAAATTGAACTTTATGATAATTTCAGCAAAAGAAAATTTTGTAATGGAGGAAATATTCATGAATTCATCTCATTTGAAGGGCTCATTTTTGAAAGTTTAGGATATAAAGTTAAACAGGAGATAAGTAGTTAAGGTGGAAGTCACATTCTGGTAGTCGCCAGCATGGCGCAGTGGTTAGAGCGTTCGCTCTAGAGTCGTGGAGTAAGGAGTTGATCCTTACGTCGCGGGTTCAAATCCCACTGTGGGATGTGATGACCAGTTCTTCAGATGAGACCGTATTAACTGAGGTCCCGTGTCGCAGTAGGTGCTGGCACGAAAAAGATCCCTCACTGCTCAATGGCCCTGAGTGCAGTGTATAGGTCAAAATTTGCAGCTCTCCACCGGCAAGTGGTGGCGTCTCCATATGAGTGAAAAATTCTCAAGAGGGATGTTAAACAAAAAACAAACAAACAAAAAACACATTCTGGTATCTAATGTTTTCATGAATGTTGCTTTTAGTAATAGAAAAGTGATAAAAAAATACATATATAAATATATATATATATAATATAGCAAAATATAATAATCGACTAGTATATTTTTTTCACATTTTGCTAGTAATAAAATGGGATTTATTTACTTTTTCATTATTGCCTACATATTTTCTAAATCTACATGACCTTTAATTTACTGAAGAAAAACCATGCGCTCAAAACTTATTTTTGAATGGAGTTAAGGTATCGATCTAGTAAATGAAGGTGCCTTCAGAGGTTTCTTATATTTGAAGAATTAATTACTTTTACTAATAATGCTGTACACATGTGTAACCATAGCCTAGTCAATTCATGTTGCACAGGGTTATAATTTGTTTGCTAAACCCAATTAAAAAAACAGTAAAAATGTTTAAATTGTCATTTTCACTCTAAAAGGTTGAAACCTACATTTAATGTTTTCACCTCCTTTTATGTAAAAAAAAAAAATTAAATATGGGTACCCAAATTAATTTTACACATGATTTGAAATGATATAGAACTACTGCAACCATAAAGTATATGGGGAAAAGTAAGCATGAATTGATTATCACATCAAAATTGATCTAGCACCTGACAAAGAATGTGAGTCTTAACTCATTTGCTAAATCTTTTTATTTTATGCTAAAATATTTGATGAGAAATCTTTTTGGATTTATATCCCCCCTCCACTTACAAGTGTTCCCATACCAAATGGGAATTTACCTAATATCTTTGTACTATTTTTGTACATATCTATATTCAGTATAAACAAAACATATATCATTTTGGTATATTGCAGATATGACCCAAACACAGTGTCACATAATTTTGGCTATTAATTCACACCTAATTTAAAGGAACATGTGTAGATATCCATATATCGGTACTTACAGTTATTATCATGATTATATATACACATGTATAAAATAGTAACTGTTACAGTCTGCCACTAAAACAAAATAGATCACAAGATCTACTTGTAATATGGAGATAATGAACAGTAGTCAAGCTCAGAAGTCCTTTGAAACAATACAGATCAGGAGCAGAGCAAACACGGTCCTCTTAAAGCATCAGAGGTGGGATCAGGTGCTACATGTACATGGGATTATGACAGATTTAACAGAGATATTTATTATGTGGAACTCACTGCTTCAAGGTTTGTGCTGTTCTCTAGTTGGTTGCTATGCAGCTGAACTTTGTGGTAAACTGCCCCAGGAAACAAAGGAGTGAACCACAGATGGAGCTGGTACACATTGTTGTTGAGTGTGGTCCAAACATGTATCTTTGGCTTCCAAGCAAAACCTAATGAAGATTGAATGAACAATTGATGAACATTTTACACTGATACAGTTAATAAATGAAAACTGGTTAACTCAAACAATGAATCATACTGTAAACCAATTACTATTCACAATATTTTTGTTCGCGATTCTTCAGTTTGGAATCCATCCACAACTTCTAATTTTCACAACTATGGCAACATTCTTCATAAATAAATTAGTGAATAATTGGTTCACAATGAGAAATATTTGTGAGTAAGAGAAGGTTGCGAAACTCACGGATTTTTGTCACTTGCAAATAAAAGTTGGTTTACAGTGTTTAATATTTATCAGTAAGGTCCGGACCTAATTGAGTTATCAGCATGATTCTGCTGGCAAATAAAATGTTTTTATGATCCTTTCGACCAATGAGAAAAGAATTAATAATTACATCTTGAAAATTATACCAATATTTTTATCACAAAAAATATAATGTTTAAAACATAAACCAACTTCTAACCTTATTTCTACCATACATAAAAAAAATCATTATTTTCCGAATTCACTTATTAATAAGGCCTTGCTTATGGATTCCAAATTACTTTTGTTATAAAAACCATTATAGTCTGGAATGGATTATGATGTAACTGATATATCAAAAAATATCAAACAAACTAGTGCTTAGATAATGAAAAACAGATTTTACATGTGGCAATGTACAGAAATCTTATCTATACCACCCACACATTTTTAAAGCAAATCTGCCCTTTTATTCACATATTACTTTTAATGAAGGACATAAACTCGCAATATATTCTGATATTAATGGGAATTTAACCAAATTCACTCCCACAATACCATGAAAAAGGAATATTGCTCCTATGAAGCACGAACAGACAAATCATTATCTTTGTTCATCTTATTAATCATTGTTTGCTCAATAAATATTAAATACAAGTCAAAAACATTTAAGGATCAATATCCCTTGTCTAAGGGAAATAACTCTTAAATCACTTTGCTTCCTGAAAGTTTATTAATTTTTTCATCTTCAGCAATTATCTCTTTCATTTTTAAGTTTTGCTCTGTATGATATACACTCAGTTGTATTTGGAGTATCTTAAATATAGATTTAATTCCATGGATGTGTTGAGGTGTGCTGGTAGTCAAATTTTTCTTTGTGCATTTTAACCTCAATATCTCCATTCCTTGGATATCTATCATTTTCTATTGACTCAAATGAGTGCAAGACAACAAGGTTTGAGTGTACTGAAAATAATTGACTCATTTTTTTCTGTCCTAGTGATCAAAGAGTTTTTGGTATGTCTCTCAGTCTGTTTGTCTGCAAAAACATTAACCTTGGTCATAACTTTTGAACAGTGCTAAGGTTTTTGTATTTCATGTGTATTCTTTAAAACAAGACCTTTTTTGGGGGCACCAGAACTTTTGACCGCATGACCTTGGAGTTTGATTTACTTTTAAAAACTTAAACAAACATTAACCTTGGCCATAACTTTTGAATGAATGGTGCTAGGCTTTCATATATCACAGGTATTCCTTGTTACAAGACCTTTCACATAGTACCAACATTTTTGACCTAATGGCCTTTACCTTGAAACTTGACCCATATCTGAAAAATTTTAACCTTGGCCCTAACATCTGAATGGTTGGCAATATAAAGCTTTCATATTTCACAAGACTTTTGGGGGTACCAATATTTTTGACCTCATGACCTTGACCTTAGATTTTGACCAACTTCTGACAAATTTTCACCTTGCACATAATTTTCTGAAGGATTGATGCTATGGTTTCATAATTCACAGGTGTATTTCTAGTGTCAAGACCTTTCTTTGGGAACAAACATTTTGACCTTTTGACCTTGACCTTGGAATTTGACACTTTTTGGAAACTGTTACCAAACTTTAACATGGCCTTAACTTTTGAACAGTTGGTGCTAAGCTTTTATAATTTACATGTTTATTCCTTGTGACAAAACCTTTCTTTGGGTACCAACATTTTTGACCTCCTGACCTTGACCTTGTAGTTTGACCAATTTTAAAAGACTTTACCCCTGGCCATAACATCTGCATATTTCACATGACTTGTGAATTCCTTCTGACAAGATATTTCTTTCGGTACCAACATTTTTGACCTCATGACCTTAATCTTAGAGTTTTATGTACTTTGGAAAGACATAAACCTGTTTATGAGCTGCAATATGGGAGCATCAGTGTTTCACACACATATCTTGTTTATCTCCAGCCCCCGACAGAAATTTTATCATAAATTAAGCAAGCAATTCCATCTTAGTCAGCTGAAGTTGACACATGCTCCTTTCTGATTACTGCTATTAGTGCTATACATGTACTATACCTGGCACCATGACAATATTCTTCGCAATCCTCTTATGCTCTCTGCTTGGCATAGGGACACTGATGACATATACCATGACCTTGGCCAACTTTGTTGTTTCTACACAGTTAAAGATGAAATCAATATCCTAAAAAAAATATATAGTCACAAGATATTACTTCTTACTGCTAGCAAAATCTCAAGTTTCTTTCTTCAGAGAGTTTAGATTTATATTAACAGAAAATCTTCTTTTGTAATTTATCGATCACTTTGTTATTCTGTTCTTCAAGGAGGGAACCTGTCTACAATATTTAGCTAAAGACACTTTGTCTGATGGGGAAAAAAGCTCTGGTTTACACTAGAGGTTATAAAGTGATTAAGGTCTGTGTTTATTCATGTCTTCTGTGGTGCTAATTTCCTAGATTCTGTCATCGATTTCTGAGAAATCAAACACCACCAGATATGGCACCCCTGAGACTTAAACTGTCTAAGAGTTTAACAGAATAGGCCATATTAATGCTATTTTACAATATAAGCCATTTAAGACACAAATCCTGATATTGCTAAACTTACAAATATGTTCCTTATTTGACTCCAGTCTGTGCCACTGAGGTTGGCAAATAGGCAGACAGGGTGAGACATGGACGCTTCCTCTTGCACAGTGACCTGAATCTTGAAACCCGTCAACTCATCCACAGAGGCTGAAACAAACAAGATTTCATAAGATACAGTTGAACTTCATTACCTTAAACACCAATATCTTGAATAACAGGGATATGTTGCTCGAGTACCAGGAATGTGTCAAAGTGAGTTGGTAGTCCCAATCACTTATTCTTCATGTTTTTTACCCTGGTTATCTCAGATCACTGGATATCTCAAAGTTTAATCTCGGTCCCATAGAGTTTGAGATAATGAGGTCTGATATGCAAAAAAAAAAAGCCCTAATTGAACCTTGCTCTTTGTGTGCAGATTTTCATTTCATGTCAGAATCCCTGGTGGCCATATAGCAGTTTATCTAAGAAGTAAGTTTCTGAGCCATTTAAGAAGACAACTTATTCATTAAGAACATTACACTCACTGACTTTTAATGGTGAAATGTTTGGAAACAGCATTTGAAGCTATTCAATATTGTGATAACTTAAATGTAGATATATATATTAATATTATAATTCCAAATGTGTATTAAAAAATTAGCAATTAGACTGAAATAAAACTATGATTTTTCTCCCAAAATTTCAATAAATTTTTGTATTCATTGTTGTATGTAAGCCCTAAGTTTTCAGATCGATGAAAAGCACATATAGTTAAACTTTGGTATCTTGAACATCAATTTCATGATCACCATGGTTGTGTCAAAGTGGTTGGAAGTTCCAACACTTTTTCTTATGTATTTTAACCTCAATATATTTAATACTTCTTTATTTTAATATGGAGTTGATGTTCTTAGGATTTAAAGTTTTTTTTTTTTTTTTTTTTTTTTTTTTTTTTTTTTTTTTTTTTTTTTGTGAATAATAAATGAAATGTTGGTAAAAAGGATTCACAGACAATGTTATTATTGTGAGTAATATCAAGTCAAACATTCCTTTCATACAGTGAAAAGAATTTCTGTTAAAGAATTAATGTTATTTTATAAGAGAAAAAGATTCTAAGCTTGCCTATTATTTGAATATTTGCCAAGTTCCTTGCTGAGAAACTACATGTACAGTACATGTATGTTAGCCACACAGACACATGATCTTCTAGAGCTAAAACTTTCTTAATGTAAATAAAATTTCAACCCTAAACCTACTAGAAAAGCTTGACATTGTCATTTATATTAAGAATTAAATGTTTCATATTAATTGCTTGAGGCTTACCATATCCTAGATGATTTGATTCTGCCGAGTCAATTTAAGTAGGTGACATGCTAGCAAAAGTACCAGTGACTGCTACTAATGCTGGAGGGAGCAGATATATTGAATATCAGCATAGCAATTTGAGAAACTAAATTTTATAATTGGCGTTTAAAATTGATATTGTACAGATGTGCATTTGAAAATAGTTTAAGAGTACAATAGGACACAAAATGTTCAGTTTGTTCTAAAATAACTCAAACTTAAAAACAGCTTAGTGCCTTCAATGATCAAATTTCTGGGTTACACTCATAATGCTGATTTGAATGTTTTTCTAAATAGTAATGCCTCATGCAGTTAACAAATCATGCTTTTGGTCAATGCTGACTACTCATTTGCTATACTGATTTATGCTGGCTCGATCATGCTAGCATTATTATAGATGCGGATTTTGCTTCATGTGGTGCTCAAGTTTGTTTAAGTCAATCTGAGAAATGATCTTGTGCATGTACTCAAAAATCAGTCAAGTGCTTGTGCAAGAAATGTTTCAAACATTTAAACATTTCATTTTTAACTTTTTTCACGATTGAGAGATTATAAAGCACCCTGTTGACTTTTATCAGCAAAGTAAATTCTGATGTTTGAAAATTGCTACTGTAGATCAACAATTTTTTGTGATGGCCTTTTTTTTCAAGAGATATGAATTTGGTACAGTACTTGTTTTCACGAATTTTCATGGTTGTTGTAATTATAACTTGTAGTACTAATTCTTTAAGTAACAATTACTTGACCATCAAAATCAGATTCTGGTGGCAAGATTCGAGACCAGCAGTGAAAATTATATTAGTCCCTCACTGGTGAAACAATAGGGGACTATAAAGGTATGTTAATTTGTCTGTGCAGTCAATCTGTCCTGCTTGGTTTTCATACTTTTTTCTACATGCTGATGATTGAGCTGAATTTTGGTATGTGAGTCAACCTTGATGAGTAACGGATTGATCAATTTACGTATTTCCTTACACTTCAATATTAAGTAATTATGGTTTTTGGACAAAGAACCTTAATTTTTAAGGGGGATCAGGAGGGGATTAGTACATACTGAATTATGCAATACTCTCAGAATGGTTGACATTTTTTATGTGGCCTGATTTTACCAACATCTGAGAAAATCGACTGAGGAATTTACACTACTTCTGATGACATTGGTATCACACATATTCTAAAGTGCACAAGGTATAAATCACTTCCGGGAGACAATATTGCTAGAAGAATCTGTAAATCCCTTTAATATAGTCCTTTGATAAAAGCAAATGCTTTCTGAAGATTCAGGGCATACAGCCACATAAAAAAAAAAATCACCTATTTTACGATGACCCCTGTAAACAAAATAAGAAGAGAAAAAAGCAGCAGCAATAAGGCACAAATGGTTCTTCACCATATATAGTTAGTGTATTAAGGTGTTTAAGTGTATAATCCTTTATGTAAGGCTATAACGCTGACCTTGTATTTCTAATTTTTTTTTTTAATCTCTTATTATTAGAATTGTCAGACAGATACTTGATGAAAAAAAGATAGGGTAGCACTTTGTAACATATTATATAATTATATAGCTTTGATAGTGAAAATGCTGATTTATGTGGAGTAATTAAATACACTTTTTTTTAATTACCCATCAGTGAAACCAAAGGGAATGATAAGTTTCCCATCCATTTGTCTGTCCCTCTGTTTGTTCAACTCAGCGTGGCCCAGTACTTGGTTTTCTCGACATTTTATAGACTTGCAATACACTGAAGCTGATTTTTCTCTTGATGAGTTACAGATGAAGATGGAATTTCCATCTGCTTCAAAGAATTATATGGCCTCTGGACTTACAAATCTAGCATATATACACTTTTCCAGATTTTTTTTTCAGGACACTTGCAGATTATTTAGCTGATTTTCAGTTCATGAGTCTTGATCTTGATGGATTAACACATAAAGTTGTATATTTTTTTCCATATTATTCCAATGATTTTTTTTTTGTTATGGAATGACAGCTCTTTAAGGGGATCACTAGACTAAGCATACTGATAGAAGACTTTAGGCTTGTTTATATAATACTCTCAATATATGTAATAATACCCTTAAATCCAGTTCATAATATAAAGCTTGAAAGCTTAATTTTGAATGTTGCTAGTTTTCCAAGATCTGCTATGAAGACAAATTATGTTCTGTATACAGGATTATTTTCACCTATGTTATTTTTCACTCTTTCATGCTTGCAAACAATTTTGTCCTGTTTAAAATTTGCCTAGAACATGCAGAAACAGTTGTATTAAAGAGATTAATGCTGTTCTCCTTCAATTCGCCCCCTTTTAAATTAATGCCCACTTGCAACAAGGGTGAAAGGGGCAGAAAATAAAATGGGGGCAAAAATTTTCCTGTATACAGTATTTATAGTAAGAGGGTGAAAAGATGTGAAAAAAAATCACATCTCAAAATGTCATATATCAATCACTGATCATTTTTTTTTTAATTTTTTTTAAATGAAATGCATCTCTTAAACAAAAAATGCTAGGTACTTATCCAACAGCACACCAGAAATTGTCTTCACAATATACAGTAGGCTGAATCTTTATAAATTAATAAACATTACATTTTTTTTTTTACCTGCATCTGTTATGGTGAGGTTCCTGTAAGTCTTTTGAAATCATTTTAATCCTGCTGAATGTATCCAAGAGAATTTTTCAATATATACATGTATACCTTGTGACAATGCTACATGTACATACGGATTTCTGAGGCTGTGTTTTAAATGAGCATAGTACAAACTTTACTCGCTTCTGAAATGAAAAAAGCTCTTTTTTCAGCAGCAAAAAAAATTATCTGTGTATGAGGAAAAACTATGTTGTATAAGGAGAGAAAAGAATCCCTTCCTAAGGTCTTGATTTCTATGTGGACTTTTGTATCCCTGTATATTCTTATATTGTTGTTTCTGTGTAAAATTGTCCAGGACACAGACCCTTGTTTTAGAATGATCACAGCTAAACACTATATCAGAGAAAAACATTTTTCAGAATTAATACGAGTCATGTGAGCAAGTGGCACCAACTTGTTCCCAATTAACTGATTTAAATTCAGCAAGAAAAACTAATAAGCAAAGAAATGAGAATCTGGGCTTAAAAATAATATATGATACCAATAATCAGTTTTTTTTTTATATTAAATAGCTAGCATACACTGTTTAACTTCAGTATCTCAAAACACCGACATCTTATATTTATTTTTGAAAAGCAGCAAATACTAAATACAAAAAATGCAAACCAAAAATAAATTTATAATTGCTAAATGAATAATTTTAATTTTATTTTCAAGTATTAATTTAAAAGTTTTCCCTGTAATGCTTTTTTTCACATATACCAATTCAGATTTTATGTGTGTATGGGGGGGGGGGGGGGCAATTTAACCTTGAGAAACATGCAGAGATGTGTGATAAGAATTTCATCCACTTTACAGTCATCAAAGTTTATACTGTCAGATTGCCCTAAACGAAACGCAACCAAATAGACTGCCAGACAAAATTTGATTTAAAAAAAAAAGCTCTATATAGACAACATTGGCTCAGGTGAGCTATAAATCTCAAAGACTCAGAAATTACCCATAAATACATATGTTATCTCCTACTGTAACAGTTTTTTAGTAATATGGAGTAGATGAACTGATGCTAATGTTAACAACCTTGTGTTATATGACTTGAGATGTTCATTAAAAATTTTATCATGACAACAGACCTTTTAATGTTTCAATAACATATACCATATCATGGAAGAAATTTGCAGTCAATTACAAGCATGATGCTTTGCTGCACTATCTGCCTTCTAGATCATTGA